CACTGCAGCAGGCAATGAATGCTGAAGGTGTGCTGAGACAGCAGCCAATGTTTCATCTTAAACTGCCTCTCTGGCTGGAGTGGGATCCTTATGGAATAATCCTACGGAATTTAATAGAAAATTCTAACTTTCCCTTCCTACCTTAGTTTGTTTTTTTTTTTAACCATGCTATAGAACTGAACACAAAATTGTTTCTCTGCTACAGAATTCTATAGAATGGTTCAAAACACCTATAGAGAGGAGATCATCTTCTATGGCAAATTTCCATAATATGGTAATTTTTATAGAATCCTATATGTTTCATCACTATTTAATTCCATAGGAATTGTGTATAAGGGGAGGCCAGTCCCAAGTAAGACTAAGGAATGTTGGCCTATCTCCATCAGCCCACAACCGCTTGTCAAGAAGTTGCTCAGCCTAGTCTATTGTTGCTTGTCAATGCCATAATTCCAAAGCTCTCATGCTGGATCAGAGATTACATGATACCCAAGAAGAAGATGTCAGACTCTCCCTGGCAGACATAGAGGTCTTTTTATTTAACCTGAGCTTCAATCAAACCCTAGCTTGCTCTGCAATGTAAAAATAAGTAGCTAATTAAGGATCTGATTAGGCATCCAATGAACTCAATAGCAAAATTCTCACTGAATTCAGTGGCCCTATCAGCATGGGGGGCTTTTAATTTAATAGGTTTGCCAGGGGCCCTGAAGCCACTGAAGGAAAAAGATGCTTGACAAACCCCCAGAGGAGTATCTGAAAGAAAGATAATAATAAAAAAATGGAATAAAAAAACTGCACACTATTCATTGTATTGTACTAAGCAGAAAAAGGGAATAAAAGAAGAAAATAAAATTTTGAAATTTCAAGATTTTTCAAAAAAATATTTTGCAAAAAAGTCTGGAAAAAAAACCCAACATTATTCCATTTCAATCCCTGCGAAACAGAAACAACTTTGAAAGTTAATTTTTTTTTTTTTTGCCAAATTGTTTTTCTATTTTTGACAAGTTCTTCTGGAAATGTTGTTGGATTTTGAACTTGGCTTGATCTTCTCATGGAACCTTTTATCTGTTGGTGCTCAGAGTTGCACGAATATTTACAGATGTCAGTAACTTAATGAAATATGTCAAATGAAACTGAAATAGATGTATCCCTTTGTCCTCTCTCATGGCTAGCAGACAGAGGGGCTCATCAGGAGAGGCCAAGTCCGAGCCCAAGCAGAACCTATATCTCTAGTTAGCATTGCCTACTCCGCAATGTTTATCTTTTGAAAATCATGGTGTGACTGTAATTATTTATGAATACTCTGTCTTGACCATGATCCTATTTACCCAGCTTTTGCTCAAGACAGGACCCTTCTTATAATCACTTATAGTAGGAGTGAGAAAAAATTGTCTATTCTCATACTTTCTTTGAGAGCAATAATAAAGATGCAGGATTGAGTTTTCCACTAAACAAAAGTCACAGTCTATAGAGCTGTGATGCATAGTCACATAGCTAGGCTATACCCCCAGGACTTGGACAGTGGTTAGCTCATAAGACTGGAAATCAGGTGAGCTGGATTCTGTTCCTAGCTCTGCTATTGGCTCATTATTTATCTTTATTCAAATTATTTAACTTCTCTGTGCCTCCGATTCCCTATCAATAAAATGGAGCTAGCAATATCCACTTTTGTAAAGGACAATGAGGTTTACAGATGAGTGCAAAATGTTATTTATTATTATAATGCTGTGCCATGGCTTCTGGACATGGGGCTGTTAATGTGAGTGTTATACTAATGGACAGTGTTTATGATTAATGTATTGTGGAGATGCCAAGTGTACAGATGGAGGTCTGGTTGCTCTCTTGTCGCTGAAGGAAATGGCACTCGCACCATGTCAGTCTGACAAATTGTTATTGCGGGTAGCCTTTGAAGAGGCTTCAGGCATGCAGGCCTATTTATGCTACTCTTCTGAATTTTCCTACCAGCTACAGCAGTCAGCTGCCTCCTTGACAGTTCTCTGTGTCTGTGACACTTATCTCCACCCATTTCCAATGTGACCACATATAATAGTCAGCTTCACTCTAGGGAATAAGAATCTGAAATTGCAGATCAGTGCCTACTGGTAGCTATACTAGAGACTAGAGTAGATAGCCTATTGAAAGTTACTGTGCCTCCTAGGCAGGGTGTATATAACATACACTTTTACAACCATACATGGGTATGTTTATCCATTATAATAGAACCGTGCATTAAATATGTAAATGATAGACAGTGCAGTTCTGTCTCCACATTTGAGAACTGCTGCTGCATGTGCCCCAGGGGCCTCAGGAACCAAATGAGCATAAGCACATGGTATCCCATGACAGCAAGGGTAGACAGTGGTCACACTAGCATGCAGTGCCTTGATGATGGAAGAGGACTTGGTAAAAGGCACACAGTCTTGTTGGCAAGAAGCAGTTCGCTTGACAGCACAGCAGTAGATCATTTCAGTGGTAGGAACCACAAGCACCGGAAACAGAAAAGGAGGGTGCTGCATACCCAGCCCCAAGAACTTAGAAGGGGGGAAGAGTATTGCAGACTTCTGGTGCAGAGTAGCAGTAGTGCATGCTGCAGATCCACACCCAGCTTAATGGCACAGTGAAGCTGTTCACACAGCATCATCCTTGGGATTCAGCAACACAGACTACTATTGTAGTTTACAGATAAACACCTGACACTAAGGGCATGGATCTCTCCCACAGGCAATAACAGGCCTCCTGGCAGCTAAAAGAGTGTGTGCTCTATATGGTTGCATTGGCGGCAGGGTTTTGGGTGTACTATATATGCTGCCTTTGCAGCAGGGTGTGGGTGTGCTATATATGCTGCCTTGGCAACAGGGATGAGTGGGTGTGTTGCAGCTGTACCCCTCTGGATTCTGCAGCAGAAAGAGAGTGTGCACACAGTTTTGTCTCATTGGCAGCATACTATACAACTGTACACAAATCTGATATTGTCCCAGAACTCCAGTCTGCAGCTTTCTGTGCCCAGGATAGAACATGTTGCAGACTGGAAATGGCATATAATTTTGGAGGGAATTGTCTTAAAAAATAGTCCGGAATGTGGTCACTTTTGGTGAAGAGACATCAAATAAACCACAATAATAAAAATAAAATAATATTATTAATAATAAAAATAATATCTAACTCTTCAATAACACATTTCATTAGTAGATCTCAAAGTGCTTTACAAAGAGGTTACTAGCATCATCCTCCTTTTACAGATGGGGAAACTGAGGCACTGGGTAGTGAAGTGACTTGCCCAAGGTCACCCAGCAGGCCACTGGCAGAGCATTTGTTTTACTGACAACTGTGTATTATCCTAAAGAAGGTAGGATTGGTTATGATGTTGAGTGATGTTTAAAGATCGCGTTCTTTCTCTCCTGTTTTTTAATTGTTTTGTGGGAGGTGACACAGACAGAGTTAAGGCTTCTTGGATGAATTTAGCTCCACCATTCCATACTTCCTAATTTTTTTTGCAGGATGATTTTCCAGGCTAAGTTCCACTCCCTTTTTACAACCTTAAGTCCAATTTAATAAAGTTTACCACTTAAGGTATTTAATTAGTGGGCAGAGTGAAGTGAGGCCCTACTCTCAACTCTGTGGCATTTGTATGTATGCAGCACAATTACTTTTGAAAACTGCAGCCAATCAATTCCAGCATATCAGGGAATGTTCTAGGTATCAATGGGCAGAAGCCTATTGATTCTGGTAATAATCAGAATACAGGAAAAGCCCGATTTCCACTATCTGGCCTACAGAGTGCTGCAGGCAGAGTAAGTTTCCTGTTGCTCTCTGCTGCTGCCTATTCACTTATTAGAGGGCCACGCACTTCACTGCTTATGTGGGGTGAGCTGTACACCCAGTTGGGTCTCTTGCCCCTCCCATCCCACTGCAGGCAGCTCCCTCCCTTACCAACCAAGGCCCTTGCCTCCTCTTTCCTGCACCCTTGCTGGGCCCCTGACAGTCATTCAGGCCAGCCTTCAACGGGGCCCCTCACCACCAGCTCTGACAAGTTCCTCCCCAGCCAGGCCTCCATTTGCACTTAGAAAGTTGGATAACACATACACAGATCGGCCTGCATGAGCAACAAAGAGTGTGACCCTCTAGTTTTAAAACATTGTGAATTACTCCGTGACAGGAGTCCCTGCAGAGCTTGCAAGCTACAGGGGATGTCTTACCGGCTTTGCGGCAGGGCTGAGGCGAGGTGGAGGAGAGGGCATTTAGAGAGTGAAGGAATAGGATAAGGAGCAAGGATAACACACACCCCTGAAAGACAAAAGTTTTACAGACGAACAGCATCAGTGTGAACAGTGCTTTGTCTCCCGCCAACAAAGCTATTGCCTCTTGTTGGGGGTGGATTTTTTTTGTTGGCGGGAGAGAGCTCGGCTACAAAGAGCGGCTACACTGCGCACCTTTTAGTGGCACAGCTGTGTCGCTATAAGGTGCGTAGTGCATACATAGCCTTAGTAGACTATGCTTGCTTTGTTGGTACATGTTATGAGAATCCCAGTCTTCGTTTTTTTAAGAAAAAGGAAGATTTTAGGTCTCACAGTGTGTGGAGAAAAGCTAGAAAACGTGCACCAAGTTCAGTTGAAAACCTCAAACACCAAATGCCAAATAAAAAGATCCCCAAGTGAATTTTTATTTGTCATTTTAAGCCATTCTCTTTGGAGGGGGCTGATTCATGAGTTTTTAACTCTTGGGGTTGGCAATACAGTGTATTGCAAGTTTGACAGTGTCTCCCCACAGGGTCCAGGAGCCCGGACACAAACCAGGATCCTACAAAGGACATGAAACCGCGCAGGACTCACCCTGACACCCCCAAGAGCCCTCTCTCACTGGGTCCCCAACCCCTCCCCCTGTCCCCATCCGCGCCCTCGGGCTGCGATCCCAACCGCTCCCGCTAACGTCCGCGCGCCCGCGCTGGGATTCCTCCCTCCCCCGCCCCGGGTAACCGAAAGCGAAATCCGCCGGCCCCGCCCCGTTGGCTGCGGAAGCGCGTCAGCTCGGGCGGCTCCTTGGCTAGCGTGGTTCCCATCGCGGCGGACCGAGTAGCGCCTCGCGGACGCAACTATGTGGGCGCTGGGGACCTGGGTGCTGCTGGGCGCCGTGTGCGCGGGTGAGTCCCCGCGCGCCGCCATCCCCCCCCGCAGCACCCCACGGGCCTAGAGCCCCCGGCTCGGCGCATCGGGCAGCGGCACCCGGGCGGGAATGCCGGGGGCTGGCGCTGTCACTGAAGGGCAGGAGCCGCGCGCCCGGTGCGGGGCCCCGGACTGCTCCGCCAGCCCGTGGTGGCTCATCGCATCCGGGCGCCGCGTGGGGAGGGGGGCCGGGGCCCTGCACGCGGCTCTGCTGAAAGCGCCGGTCCCAGCAAAGGTCCCTGGGAGAGCCCGGGCCGCTCGGGGTGGGGGAGAAGGGATTGGCGCGCGCGCGCGTGGGGCGTGTCTGTGTGTGTTTTGGGAACCAAGCCGGGTGGGGCTGCTCCTTCCGAGCCCAGAGCCAGGCTCTGCCTTGGAAGCGATTTAAGCCACGTTCCCAAGGCTCTGTGGGTGTTAGAGATCTAGCTGCACCTGTGTTTAGGCGCCTGCATGGGGGGTCTGGCTGAACACCAGGGCCGGCTCCAGGCACCAGCCGAGCAAGCTCGTGCTTGGGGCGGCAGATTGTAGGAGGCGGCATTCGGCCCAATCCTAGGGCGGCCCGGCCCCTTTTTTTTTTTTTTTTTTGGTTTGTTCCGCTCCAGCTGCCCTGTAGGGGGCGGCGGTGCGGAGGAGGGGAGCACCCTGCAGCAAGCCCGTCAGGGCAGCCTCGTCCTTCCCTCCCAGCTGACCGCGGTGCAGAGCCCTCCTGGCAGGCGGCTCGGCGGTTGGGGCTGCTGACAGCGCCCCACTGAAGCCCTGGCTGCCCCCTTCTCTCTTCCCCCCCCCCCCCCCCCCCCCCCCCCCCCCCCGGGCCCCCCCGGCGGGCCCCCCCCCCCCCGCCCCCGGCCGCGCCGCCCGTTTTTTTTTTTTTTTTTTGCTCGGGGTGGCAAAAAAGCCAGAGCCGGCCCTGCTGAGCACCCACAGGTTCTCTTGCAGGCAGTGGGCGTGGCAGGTGCTCAGTACCCCGAAAGAGCAGGCCACTGGCATTTAGGATCCCAGCTAATTTTTGCATTGATGTTTAACGTTCTGGGGTATGTTATAGCCCTTCGTATGTTGTTAGAAGTGTATATGCACAGAGACCTCTACAACAAAATTATATAATTGTGTAAATAAATAAATTCTCTTGTCATATCAATCTATAAAAAGGGAAATAAGAACAACCTGGGGAATTACATACTAGTCAGCTTAACTTCTGTACCCGGAAAGATAATGGAGCAAATAATTAAGCAATCGATTTGCAAACACCTACAAGATAATAAGGTGCTAAGTGGCAGTCAGTATGGATTTGTCAAAAACAAATCATGTCAAACCAACCTGATAGCTTTCTTTGACAGGGAATAAGCATTGTGGATGGGGGAAAGCAGTAGGCGTGGTATATCTTTACTTTAGTAAAGCTTTTGATACTGTTTCACATGACCTTCTCATTAACAAACTAGGGAAATGCAACCTAGATGGACCCACTATAAGGTGGGTGCAAAACTGGTTGGAAAACCATTCCCAGAGAGTAGTTATCAGTCGTTCACTGTCATGCCGGAAGGGCATAACCAGTGGGGTCCCGCAGGGATCAGTTCTGGGTCTGGTTCTATTCAGTATCTTCATCAATGGTTTAGATAATGGAATAGAGAGCACATTTATAAAGTTTGCGGACAATACCAAGCTGGGTGGGGTTGCACGTGCTTTGGAGGATAGGATTAAAATTCAAAATGATCTAGACAAACTGGAGAAATAGTCTGAAGTAAATAGAATGAAATTCAGTAAGGACAAATGCAAAGTACTCCATATAGGAAGGAGCAATCCGTTGCACACATACCAAATGGGAAATGACTGTCTAGGAAGGAGTACTGCAGAAAGGGATCTGGGGGTCATAGTGGATCACAGGCTAAATATGAGTCAACCATGTAATGTTGTTGCCAAAAAAGAGAACATTCTTCTGGGGCGTATTAGCAGGAGAGTTGTAAACAAGACACAAGAAGTAATTCTTCCGCTCTACTCCGTTCTGACTAGGCCTCCATTGGAGTATTGTGTCCAGTTCTGAGCACCACATTTCAGCAAGGATGTGGACAAATTGGACAGAGTCCAGAGAAGAGCGACAAAAATGATTAAAGGTTTAGAAAACATGACTTATGAGGGAAGATTGAAAAAATTGGGCTTGTTTAGTCTGGACAAGAGAAGACTGAGGGGGGACACGATAACAGTTTTCAAGTACGTCAAAGGTTGTTACAAGGAGGTGGGAGAAAAATTGTTTTTCTTAACCTCTGAGGATAGGACAAGAAGCAATGGGTGTAAATTGCAGCAAGGGAGGTTTAGGTTGGACATTAGGAAAAACTTCCTAACTGTCAGGGTGGTTAAGCACTGGAATAAATTGTCTAGGGTGGTTGGAGATTTTTAAGAACATGTTAGACAAACACCTGTCAGGGATGGTCTAGATCAAGGATCGGCAAGCTTTCAGAAATGGTGTGCTAAGTCTTCATTTACTCACTCTAATTTAAGGTTTCACGTGCTAGTAATATATTTTACGTTTACAGGGGCCGGCGGACGGAACCCCAGACTGGCAGCGGGCCGGCGGATGGAACCGCTGCCGGTCTGGGGTTCCATCCGCCAGCCCCTGCCAGCGGGGTCCCCGCTGCTGGCCCAGGGTTTTGTCCATCCAGGCCGGCAGCGGGCTGAGCGAGGCCAGCGGGCTGAACGAGGCCAGTGGCCGGAACCCCAGGCCAGCAGCGCCACTGAAAATCAGCTCACGTGCTGCCTTTGGCATGCGTGCCATAGGTTGCCGACCCCTGGTCTAGGTTATACTTAGTCCTGCCATGAGTGCAGGGAACTGGACTAGATGACCTTTTGAGGTCCCTTCCTGTTCTATGATTCTATGTATATCTTCCTTGGATCATGAAAAGAAAGCTCAAAGCTGAAACCAGGAATCATCTATATGAAGTCAACAGACGGGCCCAGTTCAGTAACGTGCCTAAATCTAAGCATATGAGTAGTCCCTTTAGCTTAATAGGACTGTCTTGTGCTGGAATACCTTGCTGAATTTGGGACAAAGTGATAACTCTCAAGAGTTTTATGTTAGTAGTTAATTTAAAGGAACATTTAAGTTAATATAGTAGAACCTCAGAGTTACGAACTGACCAGTCAACCACACACCTCATTTGGAACCAGAAGTATGAGATCAGGTAGCAGCAGAGACCAATAAAATAGCGAATACAGTACTGTGTTAAACATAAACTACTAAAAAAAAAAAAATTTTTTTTTTTAAAGATTTGATAAAGTAAGGAAACTGTTTTTGTGTTTGTTTCATGTAGATTAAGATGGTTAAAAGCAGCATTTTTCTTGTGCATTGTAAAGTTTCAAAGCTGTATTAAGTCAATGTTCGGTTCTAAAGTTTTGAAAGAACAACCATAACATTTTGTTCAGAGTTATGAACATTTCAGAGTAGCAGCCGTGTTAGTCTGTATCCGCAAAAAGAACAGGAGTACTTGTGGCACCTTCGAGACTAACACATTTATTTGAGCATCAGCTTTCGTGGGCTACAGCCCACTTCATTTGATGCATAGAATGGAACATATAGTAAGAAGATATATATATATATATAGATAGATAGATAGATAGAGAACATGAAAAGATGGAAGTTGCCCTACCAACTCTAAGAGGCTAATTAATTAAGATGGCTTTTATCAGAAGGAGAAAAAAAACTTTTGTAGTGATAATCAAGATGGCCCATTTCTGACAGTTGACAAGAAGGTGTGAGGATACTTAACATGGGGAAATAGATTCAATTTGTGAAATGACCCAGCAAACAATCTCCTTTCCCAAGGTATTCGTAACTCTGATGTTCTACCATACTTTTTATTTTGAGTGGTTTAGATGATTTCGTGTTTTTCATGAGACTTGGTATATAACCTACTTTCCTATACTGTAGTGTTAAAGTCAGAATGGAAAATATTTACATGCTTTGGTATGAGTTTAACTTTTCCAATATAATGTTTTTGCCAAACTCATCCCATAAGCTGTAACTTGTCCTTGTGCAATGAACTTTTTTTTTTAAATGTGAATCTTAAGCTGAAATATTAAAAATATTAGTTATAAGAGTCATTTATTTGTTCACTTTCTCTATCAGGGCATCAGTGTAATTTTTAATGGTGTGTATTTGCTTAATATAAACTTAATTTTTGTAAAATAAAGTTTATACAATCTGTGATAGTGTATAGGTTTATGTACAGTTCTACTGTGTTTTGGTTTTCTCAGGGTATAGTCAAGAAAGTTCAATGAGTAAGCTAAGTATTTGTTTTGTTTGACCAAAGCAATATGTGTGTGTGTTTTTCATTACAACTAATACTGTAGTATATATAAAATTTGTTTGTTTATACTTGTTATATTAATGGCCAACCCAGTGATTAGTGGCAGTGTGTTACAGTAATACAGTTCAAGGATCAGCTGCTTTTGGGAGAGGGGGGTGGAGGTGATCATTGGTCAAGGGCCAGTGCTTTGAAAAGCTTACTGGAACTGCAAATAACTGTACCAGTTGGGAAAAAAAGCTTTACTAGCTATGGTTGGTTGTCAGATACATGCGATGATTCTGCAGGCACTTACACATGTTAGTAATCTAAGTGAAGTCAGTGGAATTGGAGCTACTCTTAACTCTTGGGGAAATTCTGTGCCACTGTGCAATGCTGAATTTCCTTTCCCCCACAGAAATGGGCTGCAGTGCTGCTGGCTGCCACTAGGGGCCATTGGACCCGGCAGAGCCCAGCTCTCATGTAGAAGATACTGCTGGGGATAGTGGGAGGGAGCTAGAGTGTTCCTGGCAGCTGCAATGTCCAGCACACCCTGAGGGGGAGAGACGGTGGCATGCAAGAAACTCCATGCAAGCCTAGGACCAAGCATCAGGCTGTTTCTCCCTCTGGATCCCTGGGCTGGGGATGTCTGTCTGGGCTGGGGGGGGCATGGTTGAGCTTTGGGGGGTAGCGGGGGCAATGTCGGGCTCTAGGGGGAGGGGATTCGGGTATCTGGACAAGGGGGAGGGCCGTGGCTGGGCTCAGAGGGGAGAGGGTGCGGGTATCTGGGCCGGTGGGGCCTTGTGGCTGGGCTCGGGGGCAAGGTGGTGCGGGTATCTGGGCCGGTGGGGCTCTGCAGCTGGGCTCTGGAGGGGAGGGGGTGTGGGTATTTGGGCCAGGGAGCCCCCACCACTGGGCTCAGATAGGGGGTTGGGTGTCTTAGAGGTGGGGTTGGCTGGGGGGGCAACATGGCTGGCTTGGGAGGTGGGGGGTTGTATGTGTCTGCCTCCGATTGGGCTCCGAGGGGAAAGGAGGTGGAGAAACAGGAACTGGGTTGTCATAGGGGTTTCTTTATCTCTACTCCTGGGGGAATATATGTGTGTGTCTGTATTGTTACAGACATGCTTGCTGACAGGTATTTTAAAATAAATTATCAAAATAATTGAAACAGGTGTGATTATGTAGTGTTATTTTGTCAAATAAAATTTGCAGAATTTTGCCAAATTTTTAAATATTGTGTGCAGAATTTGTATTTTTTGGCACAAAATTTTTTATTTTTTGGTGCAGAATGCCCCCAATAGTAACTCGTGTACATGGTTAACTTTATGCACAAGTGTTCGCAGGATTTGGGGGTCTAGATATAGTGTCTAGCACATTGAGGTCCTTGATCCAGTTTGAGGCTTCTGGGCATTAAGGCAACTGGATATTGTGAATCTTAAAAAAACAAAACAAACAAAACTATAGTTCTTGAACTGTAGATAACTAACAAAAATACTGAACATGGACACTCGTGCTGTAAAATCAGATTATTTTGATTATCATCTTGCTTCTCCTGGCACCCTATTTGACTTAAATTTCTGACATTATAGCAGCCAATATTCTTGAGAACCTAGGGCTGAAAAGGAATGTTTTACGCTATTTGAAAGCTTGCATCCCAAGCTTTTAGATCAGTGGTCCCCAAACTGTGGGTGTGCCCCCCCTAGCGGAGCATGGCGGAATGTTCGGGGGGGCACAACGGGCCTGGGCACGCTCACATGGGGGATGGGGAAGGAGCGCCGCCCAGCTCTGCTCTGGCCACGGCTTCGCTCACGGCCACGGCCCCTGGCTTGTGGCCATGGTGCCCACTCCAGGCCCCACCCACAGCTGCAGGACTGCTGGCCCAGCCATGGCTCCACTCCTGGCGGCCTTAGCCCCTGGCCACGGCTCTGCTCCCAGCCCCAGATCTGCCCCCAGCTGTGGCCTCAACCCCTGGCTTCTGGCCCGGCCTGGCTGCAGCTCGAACCTTGGCTCCAGGCCCTGACCATGGCCCTGCTCCCAGCTGTGGCCCCCGCCCCAGCCATGGCCCAGCTGCGGCCCTAGCCCTGACTGTGGCCCCACTCCCAGCCGTGCCTCCCAAGGGTGGCGGGGGGGGGGCAGACAGGGATAAAGGGAGGCACGAGGGGAAAAGTTTGGGGACCACTGTTTTAGATAGGTTACAGCATTGGTGTTAACTTATGTTTCTTGAGATAATGACGGGGTCAGAATTGAAGTAGAGGGTAAAAAGAACAGTGGTAATCAGAATGATACCACGTCATGATTCTTAAACTATGTAGCTCTTTGGGTCAAAGTCTGCCCTTGGATATGTTCATACTGTTGAGCACTTGCATTTGAGCACAGGAAACAAAATGTGTAGCCTTAGGCCATGGCTACACTCGAAACTTCAAAGCGCTGCTGCGGGAGTGCTCCCGCAGCAGCCCTTTGAAGTGCGAGTGTGGTCGCGCGCCAGTGCTGGGAGAGACCTTTCCCAGCACTGCAGGTACTCCAGCGCTGGGGCACTGTTTACACTGGCGCTTTACAGCGCTGTAACTTGCTGCGCTTAGGGGGATGTTTTTTCACACCCCTGGGTGAGAAAGTTGCAGCGCTGTAAAGCGCCAGTGTAGCCACAGCCTTAGTGAAGAGAAGAGCGGAATATTTGTGAAGTCCACAAGGGTCATTGCTATGCAGATCTCATTTACCTGGGAAGCGTCTAGATACTATGGCAATAAATGCTATAGATAACCTTTAGATGGATATGTAGAAAGAATTTGGCCTTTTGTTTTTAAAAATTCTGATAAATTTTGGTTCATAGTGTAGCAAAATGCCACCTGAAATTTCTGAATTATCTGTCCTACTGACCATATACAGCTAAATAAATGAGAAGATATGCTCTTATTTGATCTACATATTTTTGGGTGTGCAACCCCTCTATGCAAAAGTAAGACATAATTTGCAAAATAAGTTCTAACCCTCAGGGGATTTGGCTCCACCTTCAGAGTACAAGAGGTACAATAACAAACATAATTTTTATAGAAGCCATCACTCATTCCTTCCATGCTTCTCTAGGGAACATGGAAGCAGAAACAACAGTGGTGTTTGTTTCCCTCCTAAGCCCCCTTTCAGCTGCAAAGAAAAATTCTACAGAAGAAGAGCTTGTCTCTTACTGATTACTCCTGGGGGAATTCTGTGCCACTGCATGCACACGGAAAACATGTCCCTCCTGCAGATTTCTTTGCTTCCCTATAGAAAGTGACAGGGAAGCCAAGTGGGGAGGGGCTGGGGATGCCCATGGGCATAGTTTGGGAGGGCATTGTCCCCCCAAACAGAGGCGAGGTGGGGGGCACACAAGTCACATGCCACTGCCCCCCACCCCAAATTTCTGCAAGCGCAGAACTGCCCGGCTGAAGGAGGGTGCCACTCGAACACCACCTCCTGAGTCCTAGTGCTGGTCATGTTCCCCTTCTGTGTACTGGGAACCATCCTGTTTTCTGTACAACAGTGAGTGTTTGCGGTGGGGTAGGGCAGGAAGGGTGATGGGGGGGGGAAATGGGGGAAGGCGGGTGGGGTGGGGGGAAGAGGCAGTGGGGAAGGAAGGGGGTGGGACAGGGTGGGGGAGGTGGGTGTGAGGGGATGGGGATAGAGGTAGGGGACAGTGGGGAGGGCAATGGGGAGGGGGCAAGGGGCATTAGGGAATGGGGATGGGATGGGGAAGAGAAGGGGATAGAGGAAGCAGGAGACCAGCATCTGGCGTCCCCTTGGCAGCAGTTGCAGCTGGGGCTCCCTTGTTAAGCAGGCCCATCGAACCCCCACCCCAACTGGCCCCACCTCCCCTGCACCTGGACAATCCTGATGAGCCCCCCAGACCTTCACCCCAATGAGCCCCAACCAGCTGCACCCGGATCCCCCTGATGAGCCCTATCCCCCCAGACTCCCCCCACTGAGCCCCAACCACATTCTCTTGGATCCCCCTGTAGAGTCTTATTGCACCTGGAGCCCTCCCCTGCATCCAGATCTCCTACTGAGCCGTCTGCACCCAGCTTGCCCTACACCTGGATCCCCCCCCCACTAAGGCCCTCTGCACTTGGATACTGCTGGGTTGAGCCTGCCAGCCCACACCTGATGTGCCTGGCACAGTGGGGCAGGGCCCTGGAGTGTTTCTGGCTCAGACCCAGCCCTTGCACTGGTGAAGCCTCACCGCCAAGTTGCTGTCCCAGGGAAGGGGAGCTGCAGTGTGATCTCCCACCTCCATATGGCCTGTGCTCCCCACTGCCATGCTGGAGCCTCCACATTTATTTATTAACAAATAAAATTTGCTGAATTTTAAAATATTGTGCCAAAAAATTAAAAATTCTGCGCCCAGAATTCCCTCAACAGTAACTGATTTTACAGGCATGCGCATATATGCCTTAGGTCAAAGTCGAGCTTTAGTGGGGCTACTCATGTACCTAGTTAAACATGTGCTTTGCTGAAATTGGGCCTTAGTGCAGATGTTTTCTCCATGTGGCCCTAGACCCAGAAAATATCCCAGAAGAATTGTCTGGTTAGGTGCAGCACTGAAAATGTTGTATTAATATTTATATATATATGTTAGGTACTTCTAAGACACCAGTTGTGGTGGTACCTAAACATCATGTAAGAATCAAGAAGCAGTAAATATATCTTAAAAAGGGCTGTAATCTCTTCTTGCCTCTTCCTCTGTCTTTCCAAGCATAGCCTTCTTGGGGAATATTTTTTTAAATCCATCCATCCTTCCTCTTTCTCAAAGTTTTTCTTCTTGTCTTCTAATCTTTTGTTTTCCCTCTTGTCCCTTATGAAGAACATTAATCTGTGCTTGTTTCAAGTGTGTGATCATGTCTGCCATCCATTAAACTTTTCAATATTTCAGTAGCTTTCTTGTTGCTCAGGTGTTGGGTAAATTAATTGTGGAAGACTGTCTAATCAAACTCTTTTTTTTCTTTTTCTTCCAGGTTCTGCCCAGTTGCAGTTCAATGTAACCAAGTCTGTTGAACAAACCGCTTGTAATAAAACAGTCATCCTACCTTGCATAGTGACTAATCTAATAAAGAACAATATTCAAGTCATTTTTGTTAAATGGAAACTAGAAAAAAAAGCATTTTTCATTTTTGAAGGATCCACAGGAAAGATCAACAGAAATGAGAGTTTTTCATCTGCTGCGTTAGAATCTCCACAAAATTTAACGTCGGGCATTGCCTCATTGACAATCTCAAAAACGCAAGCAGTTCGAGGAAACTACAGTTGTGAAGTGACAGAATCGAGTAGGGAAGGAGAAACTGTAATTGAACTTATATACCATAGAGGTAAGTTGATGTCATGTGATTTTGCAAGCCTGTTATGAAATGAAACAGACCAGGCCTTGAGGGAAAGGACACAAAATAACAAATGTGAAAATGAACCATTAAAAATATCTAGAACATAAAGCCCAGTCTTTACTCACCTGAGCACTCCTTGTGAGCATAGTTATATCAAAGTCCAGGGGAATATTTCTATGAGTAAGAGTTGGGCCTGCAGGCTGGCATTGTGTCTGTTAACTTTTAGGGATGCTGACGCTTTTCCACCTGATTTAGCTTTTACAGACTATATGGTATTTGTGCCACACTCATTTTAGTTTATGTATATTCTAATCCACTCTCTAGATAATAGAAATACAGGGCTGGAAGGGAACTCGAGAGGTCATGTGGTCCACAGATTCCCCTTGAGCCCCTGAGCTGAGGCAGGACCAAATATATATCTAGACCAATGGTTTTCAAACTTTTTTCTGGCAACCCAGTTGAAGAAAATTGTTGATGCCCGTGACCCAATGGAGCTGGGGATGAGGGGTTTGGGGTGTGGGAGGGGCTCAGGGCTGGGCCAGAGGGTTGGGGTGTGGGATGGGGCTGGGAATGAGGGGTTCAGGGTGTGGGAGGGGGCTCTGGAGTAGGTCAGTGGGTTGGGGTATGGGAGGGGGTCAGGGCTCTGGGGTGGGGGTGCAGGCTCTGGGGTGGGGCTGGGGCTGGGGGTTTGGTATACAGGAGGGGGCTCCGGGTTTGGGGGGGGCTCAGAACTGTGGCAGAGGATTGGGGTGTCGGAGGGTGTCAGGGCTCTGGGGTCGGACCAGGGATGAAGGGTTTGGGGTGCAGGAAGGGGCTTCGGATTTGGGAGGGGGGCTCATAGCTGGGACAGGGGATTGGGGCGCAGGGTTGGGGCACAGGCTTACCTCGGGTGGCTTCCAGTCAGCAGCGCAGTGGGAGTGCTAACGCAGGCTTCCTGCCTGTCCTGGCACCGCGGACCGCAGCTGCATCTTGGAAGCCGCCAGCAGCACCTAGGCGGAGGTGCGCAAGTGGCTCCACGCGGCTCTTGCCCGCAGGCACCGGCCCCTCCAGCGCTCAGGGTGGGGGTAGTGTGCGGAGCCCCGTGGCCCCCCTGCCTAGGAGCTGGACCTACTACTGGCCGCTTCCAGTGTGCAGCGCAGTGTCAGAACACGTAGGGATTAGCCTGCCTTAGCCGGATAGCACCGCCAATGGGACTTTTAAAAACCTGGTCGGCAGTACTGACCAGAGCCGCTGCAACCCAGTGCCTTACATGCCGCGACCCAGTGCCTTACATTCCGCAACCCACAGTTTGAAAACCACTGCTCTAGATCAGTGGTCACCAACCAGTCGAACCTGGAGCCTCTGAGCATCGATCCCAGTCTCAGTCCACCATCTCGTCCTGCCACCTCCTTCAGCATCGCAGCCTGCTAGGGGAGTACATCCCACCCGATCGCGCTCTCAGCCAAGGAGTTGGTTGTTTTCCAGGAGCAGACACACTTTAACAAAGCGAACGCTGCAGGGACAGGACAGCCCAGACGCCAGATGCGCCCGCTGAGATGCGTCTCTGCACAAACCACAGGCTGCAATGCTGCTGGGGTAGCTGCAGCACTGATTTGGTGGATGCTTCTCAGCGAGCATTGTTGCCTTCTTCTTACCCTTGAAACGTGCTTAAAGGGACAGGGAGGTGTTGAGGGGGCTGGGCTTACTGCCTTGAATTGCTGCTAGGCTCCCTCCTCTGATCCTGAAAAGGAGTCAGCAGAAAACTGCCCATCACCCACTTCCTAACCTGGGCAGGAATGCAGCTCTACTGCTTCTGCACAGAACAAGTTCCAGCAACGGCCGATGGGTGCTCCCTTGCCACACTCAGCCAGAAGACACTACATCTGGGGGACTCCCCTGCGGCTCCCCAGTCCCCACGGGCTCCCCAGCTGCTGTGGGCGGGGGTGTGAATCCCCCTCAGCTCCCCAGCCGCATCCAGCAGGGAGGGAATCCCCAGTGGCTCAATAGTGGTGTTAGGTAAAAAGCAAGTCCTTACTCACCTCTCCAGCACCCGAGTTCGTGCGGAGTTGGTATGGGGCTCACAATCTGTCAGAGACCAGACACCAATTCGTTGATCAACGGGCTCACACTATCCTTAGCTTAAAAGGCTTCAGAGTAAGTGTGGCAAGTTTTTAGGGGTGAGCATCAATATTTATACACAGAAGTAAACAAAAAGTGATTAACAGATCATAATGGTCATGCATAATCAATCAAGATTCTACAGGATAAAACAGGTTAAAATGTAAATTCAAAAAGACAAAAGGGGAGATGGCTACTTAAGGGGAGGGGGGTGTCATGAGTAGTTCGCAGGTCAGAGCTTTGATTAAAAGTTCAGACAGAGACATCAAGTCTGGGTTAAGTTTAAGCTCATCAAAAGTTCAGACTCAACAGTGGCTGGGGAGGGGGAGTGAGGGGAAATCAATGTTGCCAGTCAAAGGAAGCCCCAGCTTGAGAACATCCCTGATTAAACAAGCAGCTCCAGACAGTTTAATCCACACACATGCAAGGTGCATACCAACCCCATCCCAAACAAAAGAGCAGCCTTAGCCTATCAGAGGCTGCAGGGGTTAACAACAACAGCCACCTTGGTAATTGCCACAGCATGAAATGAAATACTCCAGTCTCCTGACTGGGGCTTTGAAATACCATTAATGGAGTAGAGACTGTTTCCAGCGCAAAACCTGGTGCTCCCAGCCAGGCAGGGGAACGAAATAATTGATTTGATTTCCTTCTCGCTGCAAATTCAAAATGGTTTTTGATGTCAGGTCATTCATTGTCGTAACTGGAATAACAACAATTAATTTGGCTAATTTGGGATGATGAATGAGCTGTTGGGATTGACATTAATGCTGAATAAGGAAAAGGGAGAAGGAAGGGGCTGGGAAGAGGCTACACTAACCTCAGACGGGAGGGACAGTGCCTCTGCCTTCCTGAAGAAAATCCAGCCCCTTCCTGGGGTGTTGAGCAAGGAGAGCATGTGACTGGGATGGTTAATATGTGGACAGCTGTGTGCATGTGTTTGTACCATGGTGAGCTGTCTGTGGGACCGTCACAACCAGCGTGTCAGCGCTAGTGTGTCTGGGATACCTGTCGGTGCTAATGGACTTGGGTTTGCACGCTGTGCACACATGCAGGGTGCATGACTGGCCAGGAGAGGTGGGTGTGTAAGGAACAGAGGCCAGGTCTATAATAGGAGCACTTAGCTAGAAGCTAGAGCACTGCTATACTGCACGGCAGAGCGTTCCTAGCCAAACTAGCTTATCCCAGACAAACTGCGCTTTTATCAGTATCTTTCCAGCGCCTCCGAGCAAAATAAGCTATACTGGCAAACCCCACATTTGACTTCCTTCTGCTCCCAGCCCTGCTCCTATCCCGCTGCTCCACATGATCACCGCTTTCCTTCCATTGCCAGCAGACAAGTCACCTCACTTGCTCTTCATCATCTCCTTCCTCTTCCATAGGAGTCTGACTCCCCAACCCCTCACCCCCCACAATCCACCTTCCCGTCTCTGACCCTACTCCCTATCTAACCTCCCCCAGTTCAAAGCTTCAGCAGAGCCGGTTTCCTTGTGAAGTTGATTTGGGCTTCTTTAAAATGTGGCGTGTGATGGAGTTTCTCCTTCCTGCAGTGGAGTGGATAGGCGGCAGACACAATGTCCCCTTGAACCTCCCCCTGCATGACAAACCAGGACAGCCTCCCTTCTCCTTTCATGGAGCCCCAGGAGAGAACGGCACAGAGATTCCAGTGATCACGAAGCGGTGTCATAGCTGTTCACATTTCTTTGGTTTTACACGTCACCAGCAGGGAGAAGGGCCATTGTAATGACCATGCAGAGCGAGTGAGGGGTTGGACAGCCAGGTCTCAGCTGAGCTCCTTTGGGCACTAGAAGATGCGTTGATATCATAGGCAACTTTGTCATTTGCTAGGAAGTGCCTTCTCCTCCTGCCCCATTACCTTTGGGTTACGGCTTCCCCTTCCCTGTGCTGCTGGCTGTCTCCTGCTGCCTCTTACCCACTTATCCCCCAGTTTTTGCTACTATTTCTTGCCTCCCGCCTTCTCCTGGAACCCCTCTACTTTTCATCCTTTCTGCTGCTGCCTCAACCCCAGTTTGGTGTTCCTGCCTCTTTTATCCAGCCTACCCTTGCCCTTTCATCCTGTTGCTGTTGCTTCCTCCCACTCTTTTCTGCCGCTGCTATCAATTCGTTGCCTCCTCCTCCTGCTGCTGCTACCCCGGCCGTTGCCTCCTCCCCTCCTGACTATCTGGTGATCTTGTTTGGGAAGAATGCTGGTGCTCAGGGGGCTAAGCTGGGATCCCATGAGAAAGAGCTGGTCCAGCTGCTGTGGAAAGTGGTGGATCTGGCCCACAAGGAGGTATTTCTCTGAGAACTGTCCCTCCCCCAGCCTCAGGATGGGAGGCAAGGCTGCTGGCATGGATTTCCTGTGTGCATTCAGCAGGGAGCTCCCTGGTGGGGGATTAAAACAATCAGCTAAGGGGAGTTGGGGCTGGTGAAAAAAATTTCCCTGGAACCTAACTCCCCCATTTACATTAATTCTTATGGGGAAATTGGATTCACTTAACATCGTTTCATCTAAAGTCGCATTTTTCAGGAACATAACTACAACATTAAGTGAGGAGTTACTGTAAAAAGTAAAAAGGGGAATTTAGAAAAGCACCACAAAACAATGCATAGCAAATTCAAGAACAGTTTCCCCTTGAATAGCGTACTCCGTACAAAGAAAGTTAATGAATTGAAGGCTGTTTTGAAAGCTCAACAGTCATGTTTTACTAAACCAGCAGCAAAAGGGAAGGCCTCTACTGAAGCATCGTTTTGTGTTTGCCATCTGCTGGCAAAACACAAGAAATCGTTTATGGATGGAGAAGTATTTAAAGAGGCAATGACTGTGGCAGCAGACTCCTTATTTAAAGACTTTAAAACAAAGAGGAAATAATGACAGCAATCCAGAGCAT